TTTCTTCTGAAGTTTCAAAGTCGCTCTTGGTCTTTTCTATTGGCGTGACAATGAGATCAGAAATGTCATGATTTGGTTGGTTGAAATGAATTGAGACAGGTTTGTCTTTTTTGGTGACTATGTCAGACCGGTGACCGTTAATTCTTTCCCTAAGTGGATTTTGAGTCTCCCCTACGTATTGCTTGTCACATTTTCTGCATGAGATTAGATAAATTATGTTTGAACTACTGCATGAAAGTTGGTCTAATATTGGGAATTTTGTGCCAGATGTTTTGTTATGGAAATGGTCGGATATGTTTAAGATTTTGCATGTTTGACATCTTGGATGGCCACAAATTTTGGTTTTATGTGCTGATTGTATATTATTTGTTTCTTTGGCGGCAAGCTCAGCTAGAGTGTTGTTTTTTATACGTCGTAGATAGCGTTTGGAGTATCCCCTTTCCCGTAGTTTGCTAAATACCAATGTACATGCTGACTCAAAGTCGGTCTTCTGAGTACATATCCTATGAAAACGGAGAATCTGAGATTTTATGATGCCAGAGAATGTATGTTTTGGGTGAAAGGAGCTTTTGAACAATAATTGATGTGTGTCGGTTTCTTTGAAAAATACTTTAGTTTCCAATTGGCCTGTGATTTTGGTGTTGTTACTTTTAAAAACGGTAGTATCAAGGAAATCTATGCTGTTATGGCTTACATTTGCGGTTAATTTGACAGATGGATGATGATTGTTCAGGATGTTGAAAAACGTCCAAAATTCGTCTAGTGTGTAGGTCCAGACTATGAAAACGTCATCTAAAAACCGCCCATAGAAATCTGGTTTTAATGGACAGAGTGGCAGAACTTCCCTTTCCCACTCCGCCATGAAGAGATTTGCATAACTCGGGGCAAATCGTTTTCCCATCGCAGTTCCGGAAGACTGAAGGTATACTTGGTCGTTAAAAGCGAAGTCATTCCTCCTCAGACAAATGTTGAGTAGTTTGAGGATTTCTTCGTCCGGCCTGGATGCTTGCGGGTTCCTAAGAAATGCTTTCCTAACTGCTTCAATACCTATGTTATTATCAATGTTCGTGTACATGCTTTGTACGTCGATGGATATTAAAACGGTGTGTTCGGGGACTCTTAACTGTTTGATTTTCTGAATGAAATCGTTAGTGTCTTTAAGGTAGGATGGGTGTTGGCATGCTAGGGGTAATAAGAAATGGTCTATATATTGTGATACGTTGTATGATTCGCTGCCACAGTCTGATATTATTGGGCGTCCCTTGGGTATTTTATTAGGTATAAACCATTCTGTTTCTGGATTTTTATGTATTTTTGGTAGTGTATAGAGATGTCTTTGTCGGCAGTCAGATTTAGCAGATAGATAATCATATTGTTTTGCTGTTATGTATTCCTTATCCTGCAATTCATATAAGATGTTGTTTATTAAATTTGCGGTGTCCTTAAAGATTGGTTGGTCTAATTTAGTGTAATGTATAGGATTACTTAATTGTTTTTCTGCCTCTGAGATATAGTCTGCACGATTCATTATGACACAACACGAGCCTTTGTCGCTTTTCTTAATTATTATGTTTTTGTCCTTTTTAAGGGTGTTTAATGCCGTTTTAGTTGCTCGGTTGAGATTTGGTTTTTGTGACTGTGGTTGAATGGATGATATTTCTATATTCATTTCGTCGAAAGTTTTTAGGATGGCTGGTGATAATGACTTTTTAGGTGGTTTCCATGTGGATTTTACTGTGAATAATTTTTTACCTCTGCCGGGTTTGTTCCTAAAAAAATAAGTCAACGAAAGTGTTCTTTGGAAGCGATCGGTTGCCTGGGTGATGGGGTCTATGGATGTTATTGTGGGGGTTGGGATGAATTTAAGGCCTTTATCAAGAATGTTCATTTCTAGGGGGTTGAGAAGTCTGTCGCTCAAATTGACAACTGTCTGTCCTAAAGACGGCTTCTCATTCCTTTTCCCTAATCCTAGTTTAAATTCCTCATCCAGCAGTTGATGATCTCTCTGGCCGTGTCTGGGCTCCAGTGGATTGCGTCGTTACCTTTCAGTTCTATTTTGCCCTTGAAGGTTGGTAATGTGGTGGCGTTTGGTGAAGGTGCAGTGGAGATCAGTTGGTTGTAGCTGGTGATGTTTTGGTAAGCGATCGGATTTTCTTGTCGGAGTCGGGAAGAAGTGGGGATCTGTGTGGCGAAGAGCTTGGTTGTTGGGAAAGCTGCTCTGGTCACCTTGAGTAGATCTAGCATCTGCTCGTGTATCCTTGGTCCACTTTCCTCCCTGTTGTTGAGCCCGACGTGTATCACTAATTCCTCTGGTGCAGGACCCATGTAGCCAAACTATACAGAAAAATAGGAGATAAACCCCAGCTGTTAAAAGATGTCGCCTCTATCGTGTTCGGAGATTGGGACAACACCACATTTGATATAAATCTGTTAAAAACTGTAGCCTCTATTGCTTTTCGGAGGTTTTCAGGGCATAAGTCCGGAAAGGAGTTTGGTGGAGCACTGATTATCGATGGAGTTCGTCCTCTCATGAACGAACAATCAAGGGTAATAATCAAGGAATTTAAGGTTCGACATGTGTCCAAATTGTTTGGGATTTAAACATATATTGTAAGCTTCATCTAAATTGGATAAAAAAAATGTGACATGTGAACAGACGTCCGAATGAACAATGGTAACAGCATAATACTAGACAATACGTCCACATAAAATGTGGGCGAATAAAAAGTGCTTAAGTATTAATAAAGAAGGTTTTTTTATGTATCGGGTTATTCTTTGTGTATCTGTAATTGTTAAAAATGAATAACGGAGTTCTTTTTTTATTTCAAGTTTTCTGAACTTAGAAGTCGTTGGCTTGAAATAAATATCCAACAAAACAAATTAAACCTACGTTGGTGTAATAATTAAAATGGAAGTGTAATTTACAAAACATCCTTGAGGGGTAATGTTTAATTTACACCCACATGTGTAAACCATTTAAGTGTTACATTACACTGTCTGAGTGGGGGATCGAGATGGCCTAATGGTCTACAGTGCCGCGCTTCGACCTCTAGCTGGTCGGTCACCTGTGTCTTGCGGTTGTAGTTTCAATCCATGGTGTGAGCGTATGTGGCTTGGAGATACGGGCGCCTTCTCAACCTCGTGACTTTACTCCAGCTACTCCGGTTTCCTCCCACGGGAAAGACCACTGCGCGTGCTCTAAGATAATAAAAATAACACTTGTCTGCGATATCACCTTGCGTGGAAGAGGACGTTAAACACTAAAAACAACAACAAACTGTCTGAGTGGATTAGGCAGGTTACACTACTGGAAATGGCAACTAGTTTCCACCTGAATTGGTTTAATGTTCTACACTACACACACACATACATGTAAATGGTGTAAATCGAGGATTTTGAATGGATCCTCCTAATCGAGGTCTTGATAAATATTGCATGTAGCTGAAAAGCACGGTTATTTATGAACTCTATTACATCAAACTACTATGAAAAGATACAAATTATACCTCAATTTATATATTTTATGCATTTGACTTTTTACGGAAGAAATGCGGACACACTGGAGTTTGCAAATAATTGGGGAAATACGATCGACCGAGTCCCTATGCTAGTTACGCCTAATCGAAGTATGTGAACGCCGCCAAACGAGGTCATTTGCTCTATACTATATCATACTGTGGACTTGACACTTATTGTGGTCTTTAATCTGTAAATAAAAAAAGGTTTTGTCCCGCACCCAACCCCCCTTGTACCACACATGGGACAAAATACAATATAATTGTTTCAAATTGATGTATGGCACAATATCGCGATAGAACAGTTATTATTAATGTGATCAACCGAGGACGCATATTATGTTTTAATTCCGACAAATGGGGACTTTGTGTATGGTGAACACCAAAAACCGACTACACACACACTCACATCCGAGTACGTTACAAGTGTATATCAATAATATAAATTGAGTGGGTTCAACATTCTATCCGAGAACAGACCCCCTTTGACAAAGGAGCAGCCAGTTAAAACTTTTAATTTTCTAAACCAATCTGACTGAGGAAGTACATACGATATGTGAACAATCGAGGACTTGTGGACTTGACCCTCATTGTGGTCTTTAACCTGTAAATAACGTTTTTGTCCCCCCCCCCCACCTTTGACCACACATGGGACGAACGACAATGTAACCGTTTATAATTGATGTGCGGTGCAATATCGCGATATAACAGTTATTTATTAATGTAGAATTCTGCAAAATCCAGGAAATAGCATTTCAGGGGTTTTAGATTAAAAAATTTCTTCGTGGAAGCATGCCCCCAGACCAATAGAATGCTCGCACCTGTGGTACTCGCCTCGTGGCTGCGTCGCTCGTATTAGGAGCCTCTCGCATTTTTGCTAAACACCCTCCAAAACAAAATCGATATGTACGCCCCTGCTTATGGAAGCCATAATGTTTTCTAAATGGAATGATCTTAACGGGCTCCTTCAGTTTTACCTGTCCTTAAAAATATATAGTTTAACATAGTGGGGGGGGGGGGGTTGTGACGTTTTCGGTTAAAAATTGATTATTTCATTTTTTCAGAACACTACACTAACCAATAGTAATATTTCAAATTCTTTACGTGGTGAAAATGGCTCGTGAACTAGTGGATCTGGAAGAATTAGTCCGAGAATGGATTCAACTGTATTTTGGGGTAAATTCTTAGAATGTCTACAGTCCAGACTTTAATGGTCAATTCTGGTGCTTTGGATATTTAAACACATTTTCTCTGTATATTGTGACGCTTTAGTTACATTTAAGATCCTTTTATCAATTGTAAGCTATTTTTAAGAGCATTAATATCAGTAAGGCTCTCTCTCTCTCTCTCTCTCTCTCTCACTCTCCCTCGCTCTCTGCCAACAGTTCTTTGTTGATACTCCCTCTTCTATCTACCTTCAATGGAGCCAAAAAAGGACGTTGAATCCTATTCATTTATGTTGAAAATATTAACAAAGGAGTGACATAAACTTTATCAAAGAGTTTTATTCTAAAAGATAAAAGTGGTTAATAGATTCAAGTTACAGAGAATAAGAAAATAAAATTACACCTTGATACCCCAAAATATAAAAGGCCAGATATTAAAAAAAAGAAAATGATATTGAGCACAAAGAAATGATACCCCAAAATATAAAAGGACGGATATTAAAAAGATAGGTTGCCAGGCAGCGAAACATACGCCCACAGCAGCTAAATCGTCCGGCAGTCAATAAGAGTTGTCGCATATTTTTACTTTTTTCGGTAATGAAACATTTATAATACACTAAAATCTGATTAAGAGCAACAACTCAGAAAACCATTAGAATTTGTTTGGTTTGTATACAAAACTTTTAATATCATGGATTTAGCTGTTCCAAGTCATAAAAATTCATTGAAAATCAATATACTTGTTCGTCTCAAGATCTTAAACTCTGTGTGTTAATCTGAAGTCAATCGGATGATAACTTTAGCCTTTAGAGCGTCACAAGATTTTGCAAAGTGATCAAGGGCCATAACTTTGGCAGTAATTATAAGAAATTGCTAAAAATCAATAGGCTTCTTCGTCTCATGACCTTAAACACTATGTATGAATTTACTTTTGGCCTCTAGAGCGTCCACAAGATTTTGTGAAGTGATCCAGGGCCATAACTCTGCCAGTAATTATCGGAAATCGCTGAAAATCAATAGGATTCTTCGTCTCATGACCCTAAACACTGTCAATCGGATATTAACTTTAGCCTCTAGAGCGTCCACAAGCAATTGTGGATGCCGGACCGACGGACCGACGGACCGGCGGACGTACGGACGGACGGACGGACGGACGGGGGCGACGACAATATACGACCACATTTAAATGTGGGCGTATAAAAAAGAAATTGATATTGAGCACTTTAAAAAATAAATCTGAAAATCTACAAGCCTTCAAAGTATAGAAATACAATGCCTTGTAATAAAAGTTTCTGTGACAATATAAGATAATTAAACCTTGAAAAAATGAAATATCCAAATCTATATAAAGATATAATTAATTCATTTACTGACAAAAATTGTACATTATTTATGCTTTTCAAATCTTACTCTAACATATTGTGACAAAAACTAAATAATTTTCAATATTGGTCTATTACATATATTTAAAAAAACTATACTTTCATTACAGATTTTTTTTATATGCATCCCTCTTTAAAATAAGAAAAAAACCATAAAAGATTATACTATATATATATATTTTCCATATATATTCAATATAACCATTATTTATACCATAGAAAGGTTTTAATAATCTGTTTCAATACCACTGCCTTCCATATAGGTTTTACAGGATTGTTTACTGTCTGCCTTCTTAAGATAAACCAAAATCCGATTATCCTCTGGCTAAACAAAATAGATAAAAATATCATTAAGATACATCTGTATATAATAATAATCAATGCACAGGTACACACATTAATATATATTCACCGTTTCATTTGTTGGTAAAAAATAATATTTCAGCAATATGAGGTTATATTTCTTCTATATTTCACCTTGTGACAGTGGTACCAGCCATTGTTGACATACATGTCCAATGTCTGGACATAAAAAATGAAATGAAATGAAATGGGGTTTAACGTCCTACTGTTCTGCTCCGACTGGGTTAATGAAGATGGGCATACGTTATATCGAATTTCAATTGCAAGGGGATCTTTTACGTGCACGCCAATGTATACACGGGTCCTCGGTTTGTCGTCCCATCCGAATGATTAGACAGCTGTCCTTGTCAGGCCCTCCGTCCTGCACCACTGTGGAAAACAAACAGGTCACTTGTACTGTGGGCACAACACTGTCACAGCCGGAATTCAAGCCGTTTGTGTTCGCTATATAGCTTTGGTGTAAAACTTATTACACATATAAGTATAATATTTTGGGTTAAAATTCTCGGTTCTCATAAGACTTCTATGTTTTCAACTGATCATTAATACAGACATGTTACTGAAATTCATTATTGTTTTTGACAATATCACAAACCATTGAGTGTTATAATGTACCTCTATATAGCAGCTGGACGGTACGATATCCAACGGCAGTTGCTTTATGGCCAACTCTGTATTGGTACCAGATAAATCACCTTTACCAACTACTTTTACTGTTACTGTCCTGTCAACATAAATATATGAAATAAATATTCTCTCTCCATTAAAAATATTTTTCTTCGTGCTTGCCCAAGTCTTAAATTAGCCTATATCCTGTAATTTAAGAGAATTAGCTGGGAGTATAAATGAAGGAAGTAGAAATGTCTTGTTCTCTGTGTAATGCCTTACAATCACCTTTTTTGGTCCTCAAATGGTATATTTTAAAACCATATCAAGAAATGTTTATCATTTTACAATAATGTAATTCGCATTGTAAAAAAGATAATTGAACACTGAATGGCATGATACCTTGTGCATAGCCATATTGTAGTTTCGTGAATCTCTTACAAGGTCTATGCGTGCAATCATGATTTGAAGGGGAATGCCTTGGCTATCTTTCAGAGGTAAAAATTTACCTTACACCAAATTCTGGCTCTTCAATATGTGCATTTGTAGCAATTTTTTTCTTTCCAAGGAGTGCTCCTAACCATCCTCCTTCTGTCTTTACTTTCAGTCCCCTTACCTTCATAATAATATAAAGCCATCCTGGAAACTTTCTTTCATCCACAGCTTTTAATATAAATAAAAATTGAAGCAATAAGGATATATTATCAACACAGCTTGATTTATAAAAGTAATTAAATGAAAATCTGATGCCTTACATATTGCTGCTCCCTCTTATAAAGTAATAAATGTTAAAAATAATTTAGCAACTGTCATATTCTTAGAAGGTACTGGTCGAAGTACAATAGGGTTAAATCCAAATTGATAAACCCATCCTTTATCCCTCCTTAGTCTTAGTTTATCGACCACCCCACAACCACAGCAAGATTATTATGAATTCATTTGATATTGTTAATCATACTTTGTGTGTGGGATTCCTTAGCAAAAGTTCTTGCAATGATTGAGCTATAGTTTATCGACCACCCCACAACCACAGCAAGATTATTATGAATTCATTTGATATTGTTAATCATACTTTGTGTGTGGGATTCCTTAGCAAAAGTTCTTGCAATGATTGAGCTATAGTTTATCGACCACCCCACAACCACAGCAAGATTATTATGAATTCATTTGATATTGTTAATCATACTTTGTGTGTGGGATTCCTTAGCAAAAGTTCTTGCAATGATTGAGCTATAGTTTATCGACCACCCCACAACCACAGCAAGATTATTATGAATTCATTTGATATTGTTAATCATACTTTGTGTGTGGGATTCCTTAGCAAAAGTTCTTGCAATGATTGAGCTATAGTGATGGAATACAAAGAAAATTGCATTGGATTTCTAGTCTAAGTTTTAAGAGTTATTATAATAATCTGATCCGTTACCATATGATGCTTCTGCCATCCTTTCAGACTTCTTTATCTTTTTGACAGGTACGGTACTTTCACTTTATCGTAAATATGTTTTTTGTGTGTCGGCTAGCAATAGTAGCAGAAGAGTCACGGTTCTGGCAACCTTGTAATTTGTTTTCAAGCTAATTATTACTATTGCCTTCCTTGTTGGCCACGTCACAGAAAATTTCTTAGTCTCTATCATTCAGACAAATATTCTTTTCTACGTTGAAGACTACGAGGTTCTGGGTGACCGAGACTAAACATTTCTTGGAAATAAAAGGTGAACTGAAAGTAAACTAGTTTACATTGGTTTACACCAATGAATCTGATACTAACTAGACGCCATGGCCAATCAGTGTTGACTTCCGTTGGTGGGTGAAAGTAAGTAGGCCAACTGGTTTTTAACGTAAACATAATGGGAATGCTCTCGACAATAGGAAATTCTACATATGCACATAATAATAACATTTAGTTGTAAGCTATTATAATCTTATATTTATAAATATTGTTATAACTATAAACGTTTGTTGTATGTGCAATCAATAAAAAAACTTAAATCTTATCTAATCAAGATGAGCAAGAAAGGCGCTTTAATCTTCAGTTTATTTAATATACTATTCAAAAAAAGTAGGGGATATTTGATTTTTAAGTGTTATTAAAGTCACCTAATGAAACTGACGAAGAAACAAATGACAAAATGAAATGAAGTTCACATTCATAGATTTATTCCAAATGATCGTTAGACTAAGTAAGGCACAGACTGACCATTATAAGGGTAAAATGATACCCGGGGTCAAACAGCAAAGTTACCACAGCATCACAACCAAGTCAGTAACGGGTAAATCCTCCTCTGTTTGCCAAACAAGCATTGATCCGACGTGGCATACTCCTAATGAGACGTCTAAGGTCATTTTGGTCCAGATTGTCCCATTCCTGTTGCAACGCAGCAGCAAGTTCTTGGACATTGGCAGGACGTTGTTGACGTTGAAGTAACCTCTGTCCAAGCATGTCCCAGACATGCTCGATGGGGGAGAGGTCGGGACTCAGTGCTGGCCAAGGTAATGTGGTGATGTTCTGTTGTTGGAGGTAACCTGTAACGATCCTGGCCCTGTGACATCTTGCGTTGTCATCCTGGAAGATGAAACGGCGGCCATGACGTCGTGCGAACGGCACAACATGGACTGCCAAGATGTTGTCCCGGTAGTACTGGCCTGTAACACGCCCTGCAAGAACATGTAAAGCCGTTCTTCCAGCAACAGTGATGCCTCCCCAAACCATAACAGAACCACCCCCAAATCGATCATGTCTGATGACGTTAACGTCTTGGAAGCGCTCGTTTCGACGACGCCACACCCTCCTACGTCTGTCCAAAAAATCAACAGTGAACCTTGACTCATCTGAAAACATCACATTGCTCCAGCGTCGATTATCCCAGTGTTGACGATCCCTACACCAACGACGTCTTGCCTGAATGTGATGATCTCTCAAACAAGGGATCACGCGAGGACGTCGGGCGCGAAGGTGACCCCTATGCAGTCGATTCCGAATCGTCTGGCCACTCACTCTCACACCAGTGTCTGTTTGAAGACGAGCGCTGATCTGATTTGCTGTGATGACACGATTTCTCAAGGCCAAGGTACGGATAAATCGATCCTGGGCTTGAGTTGTCGCCCTTGGTCGACCTGAGCGTGGTCTGTCCTGTACAGATTGTGTATCACGGTATCTGGACCATAGCCTGCTTATGGCAGACTGAGAAACATTCATCGTCCGCGCCACAACCGCCTGTGTTGTGCCGATCTGTAGCATGCCAAGGGCACGTAACCTTTCATTTTGGGTAAGCCGACGCATATCAAAATTTGTTTTCTGGTCACTAAAACAATTAAACTGATGTTTCCACCCTGGAATTCAATGCCACAATGACTGTAACATTCAAAGTCAGAGTCGTGCAAATCTTGGGTTCGACCCCCATGATGATCCCAAGCATCACATGCATTCCATGCGGTAGCTATTGGTGCGTTTGGGCGTCACATGTAACTGGAAATGTTTCTTCTGTTAGGTTCTATAGTGACTTTTTTCGTAGTCATTTGCATATTTTAGTATTATGCCCCCAAAATCAAATATCCCCTACTTTTTTTGAATAGTATAAATTATACAGATTTGTTTTTTATTTGTATTCCATATTATTTTTGTTTTTCGCTGTATGTTTTTATACGCTCACATTTTTATGTGGATGTATATTATCGTCGCCCCCGTCCGTCGAGTGGACGTTAAACCCCTTTTCTGTCTATTTTTTTCATGGTGTCCTAACGTAACTATGAAGAAGCTGGAAGGCTATGAGTTTTTGTTGAATATAGAAACTGACCAAAATCTGAAATTCATCAGACTGTCATATAAGCCTAGATTAAAGTGGACGTTAAACCCTACTAGCCAGGCCGTCTGATGAATCAGATGATAACAGGTCAGTGCTTGTGTATTATATAATAATATGAGTTATATATAATAATGTGAGTTATATATAATAATGTGTATTATATAATAATGTGAGTTATATATAATAATGTGAGTTATATATAATAATGTGAGTTATATCTAATAATGTGTATTATATAATAATGTGTTTACCATATACCACTGTATAAGACAGGACAGTGCTTGTTGTATTATATAATAATTTAGTTAACCTTATATAGAGAATCTCCTACCAGTCTTTTTTGATATCAAAAAATATCAACACAAGTTGATAAAGTGACAAAAAACGAGGCTCTGCCCCATTTCTCTCTCTCTCTCTGGATATCGGCAGGCATCGACAGAATATCTTTGAGTCATATTTTTTTTTGTTTTATTATTGCAAATTAGTATTCTGAACGCTTGCCTATCATTATTTTTGATGTGCCTATGACTTGCCGAACTTTATTCATATTTTAATACTTTCCTTTCATATTTCATGTAAATCTAGGGGACATAACTCTATTTTTATTAATTATTGTTCAAATACAGTTTTCCTTAAATATTAAGTACCTCCTTTAATATGTTTGTAGATTTTTAGTGTCAAAATGTAGGAAATATATATTAACAATTTTGTATTAGGTTTCGTAGTTGAGGCGAGGGTTCTTTTATGATTTTAGAATGTTTCCTAGGTCTGGGCTTGCCAGTCGTTTAAAGACAGTTAATATAGGTTGCCTGCGCGTTAAGCCCGTTGATTTGATTTGATCTGATTGCGATGTCAATCCCTGTTATTGCAACAGTAGAAATTAAGAATTTTAGTGGGAGTGTTAATAGATTTTTACTTGGTTGATTTGATCTGATTATTATGTCAATCCCTGTTATTGCAACAGTAGAAATTAGAGATTTTATTTGATTTGATCTGATTTTTAAGTCAATCCCTGTTATTGCAACAGTAGACATTGGATATTTTAGTGTGAGTTTTAATAGATTTTTACTTTACTGATAAATAGAATTATAAAGGAGCTTAATTCTTGTACAGTAAATTTTCTTTTATTTATAAATTTAGTGTTAGAATATTGTTAGCGACGCCCACAAAGCGTCCCGAACCTGTCATATCTGATTACCCGGTGCTGTTCAGCCATCCCAACAACCGAATTATATTATTTTCATGTTTAATGTATAAATAAAGCTGTTTTGGAGATATTTTAGTATATTTTTATTTGGAAGCTATCCTGTCTAGTGAGCGGGTAACACTAATAAGATCGAATCGAAACTATCATAAACATACCACAATGTGGCATACTGGGATAACTGGAGACGCAATAAGTTCGAAACGGTACATACCATAAACATACAACAATGTGACAATCGAAATTATATAACTACATCCATTAACCCTTTAATAATAGCAGTTTGTGACACACCAGTGTCTTATAGCCAGACTACTCTTATTATATTTCTTAAGAAAGATTTTGTACATGTATACGCCCACATTTTCATAATTCAGGAAGTTACGATCCGATATGCGCGAATATCGACACCAACCAAGATCTTTGGGTTATAAATATGCATTTCAAGTGTCATCAAAATCGGCACAAAATTGTGACCTCCAGAGGGTCCACTACCTTAATATACCAGATGTTTACACTATTTGCGTACAAGGGGCGGCCATTTTGTCACGCAGTTTTGGTTCGATTTTTACGAAATTCGAAGTCAGCCATCCCTAGGATGTAACGGTGATATATTCAAACGTTTTTTAAATAGGATAAGAATTATGACCGCTATAGGGTCCACAAGCTAAAAACGCAATTTTTCGTACAATCGGGGGCCATAATTCAGGAAGATACGATTCGATATGCACGAATATCGACAGAAACCGAGATCTTTTGGTTATAAACTTACATTTCAAGTTCCATCAAAATCAGAAGAAAATTGTGACCTCTAGAGGTCCACAACCTTGATATACCATATTTTTACTCTGTTTGAGAACGAGGGGCAGCCATTTTGTCTGTAAGTTTTGGGCTGATTTTCACGAAAATCGAACTCAACCAATCTTACGGTAAAGCGGTGATATATTAAAACGTTTTTTTAAATCGGTAAAAATTATGACTTCTATAGGGTCCACAAGCTAAAAACGCGATTTTTAGTACAATCAGGGGCCATAATTCAGGAAGTTACGGTCCGATATGCGCGAAGATCAAAAGGAACTGAGATCTTTGGGTTATAAACATATATTTTAAGTTTAAACCAATTCGGATAAAAATTGTGACATCTACAGTGTTCCCAAGCTAAAAACGTGATTTTTCGTACAATCAAGGGCCATAATCCATGAAGTTACAGTCCGATACATGCCAATATCGAAAGGAACCGAGATCTTAGGGTGATAAACCTATATTTCAAGTTTCGATGAAATCGGATAAAAAATGTGACCTCTAGAGTGTTCTCAAACAATTGTGGACGGACGGACAGGGGCGACGACAATATACGTCCACATGAAAATGTGGGCGTATAAAAACAGAAATTGAAAATGGTCGTTGATCATAACCAGGGGCGGATCCCTAACCCTAACCCTTTTTCCAAAAGATGATTTCAAAATGCAGTTACCTCCCCTTTAGTTCTCATCCTTTAAGCTTAAAAATCTAAAGCTTATCACCCCGCCCCCACATATCTTGAATGAAAATGTAAGAAATTCATCTGGTGTAAATATTTAATACCATCAAAGTCATAAACTGGATAAATGCACATTCATTTATCATTTTGTATATTTTACAAATATTTAATATTGTCTATAATGTAAATGTTGTATAACAAAACACTTAGATTTCTACAAGTACATGAACAAATATCTTCAACCTATATTCAGGGCATTATATAGTATTGTAAGTAGTAGGGTGGGACAAATGCCCAACGGCTGAAAAACAATTCCCCAACAGCTAAGTTACCTAGGTGATTTTTTTAAAAAATCATGCAGGGGAACATATAATGGTAAAAATACTTAACATGATTTCTTGTTCATTAAATAACAGCTTATTAAAATATACATTTTGCTTAGCCAATAAAGTTACATTACCATTAAAAGGCCAGCAGGTTGTCCAATTTCTTTGTGTTATTGTCATTTTTTAAATGGTCCTTGGGAACTTAGTAATTTCCTAAAATATTTACTGTATTAGTTTGAATGTTGTTTAATGGGCCTTGAAAAACTAGTATTTTACTCATATATTTGATTTTTTGTACCATGCGAAGATCTATGTGACTTAAATAAATACATCAGTAATTACAAAGATATGATCAACTGAATATTTGTGAACATTCGGCATCCACTATACAGATGATGTTAGTAGGATATAGTCATCACAACCTAGCACCATCTATGGTTTTCACTAAACTCTTTGAATTAGCCTTGTTTAATAATCAAATTTAGTACATTTTAGCATGGATTAAACTGTAGAAAATTTGATATATTCTGAAAAATGCACATGATACAAACAGAGACTTCTACCACAATGAAATTCTATCAGCAACTTAAATCATTCATTCTAAAAAAAAATAATGGCAATCACCCGTGAAAAAGTTTAAAAGTCCTGAAGGATTTTGCAACAGTTTCTGTATGACAATTTTATTTCATACAAAAGTGAAAAAAACATAATTTTCAGTTTAATTTTGGCATTACACAACCACTATCAAATGAAATCTGGCAACCTAGAAACATAATTTTCGGTTTGATTTTGGCATTAAACAACCGCTATCAAATGATATCGAGCAGTCTAGAAAGAATTGGGTTATTTTAACATCAGGAAGTCTGAGAAAAAAACAACTTTCAGATCTTATATTGTGCTAAACAGTTTCACTGATTGAAAACATCAGTTTACAATCCTGATAAATCCTCATCACCTGTAAGTTGATATTAACAAATGTTTTCCCACGGCACGGCACAAATTTATCAACAATGACTACAATATTGTCAGAAACCAGTTATTCTACTTGCTTCCCACAGAAGTATCCCTAATCTGTCTAGCTGTCTGGTGAATATATGTGTTATCCATAGATTGTCATTGGTGACTGGTGAATATGTGTGTTAACCATAGATTGTCATTGGTGACTGGTGAATATGTGTGTTAACCATAGATTGTCACTGGTGACTGGTGAATCTATAACTTATCCCTAGTCTGTCACTGGTGAATATGTTATTTATCCCTAGTCTGGTGACTGGTGAATATATCTGTTATCCCTAATCTGTATATACATGTATCTCTTATCCATATTTCTACTGCCTTCTGAGATAAATATCCATAGTTTATCACTTGTGAAAATATCTCCTATTTAAATTCCATAACTGAACAATCAGTATATATAATATATTTCCTATGTCACACTATAAATTCATCATCACTAATGACGATATTGTCAAAGTTTGGAAGTCCGATCTCCTCATGTTCGCGAATCGGAGAACTGTTACATCGCGGGGGTTCCGGCAACATGTCCGTTAATTGTTCTATTTTTAAATCTTTATTTTTCATCTCGACACGAAGTACTCTCATCTCTTTCTCCAGTAGCATGACTTTATTTGATAAACTATCGTAAGAGTTCTTCTCTGTCTGAAAAATCAAGAAATAAAAGATATGAATTAGCTGCTCTCTCTCCATAAATATATTTTAAGCCTTGATTCAACCCGAGGCCACAGCCATTTGATTATAAGTTCCTTGGGGACATGATAAATAGATAAAAAAAATAAATAACCATTCTAGTCTCGTGAACAGTGTTTTGTTTTAAATTTAAAAACATAAAAGTTCGGACTAAATGCTTTTGAGTAAACCAAGGTTGGTTTTTTTTGTTTTAAATTAGTTTTTTTGTCCCAAGTTGTAGGAAGTTAAACTTTTACCGAAGACAAACAATTCACATTGGTGTGGCCTTAGAAATAGTATAGAGATCATATGTATGACAACACTAATAATTACATGCAGTATTTTATTGTAGCCTTAATTTTGTAAACTTTGAAGACTAAAGGGAGACAATCCTGTCTTTTTTTAAGTTCCTCCATTTTCTCTATTTCTAGTTATGCAATTGGTTCAGAGGGGGATCTACACTATGAAACTAATAAATTTTTAGAAACATCGCTTCTAATTTGACTTCTATGTTACTACACATAGAATAGCGATGTTTAGGGGCCCATAGCTAATATACTATAACTAGGTATCCTGATCACAGGTAGAATAGGGATGTTTAAGCGCCAACAGTTACTATACTATAACTGGGTGAGGATTGGTGTTTTAATAACACTGTGGTCATCAGTTATTACGAAGCTGGTTGTAACGAGCCCCAATAACATTTTGAGATTCAGGGCCTCAAATATGAAGGTCGGCCACTGAACTTGTATTGTCACTTCAGTTGGTCAAGTATTCTGGGTTAGATGTTGGGAATTTCCTCCACATGCCGCAGAATGCAGCATGGACATTTTGCTAGACAGTTTTATGACGTAGAGAGTTGTATCTCATACAAATCAAAAGGTGTACTTTCTGCATAACTTACCATTGACTGTATAGGAAGTTTCTTCCTAGCTATAGTGAGAGTTATATCCCCTTGACAGACTTCTAAATTTTTCTTCACCACCCGAACATCTGCTCCTAATAATGGCTGCCCATTGATCTGGAATCACAATGAAATAAAACTACAACTTCCATTTCCCGAACCCACATCTGTACGTGGGTTTTCTCCGGGTACTCTCACACTCAAAATAAATGAAATGAAATGGGGTTTAACATCCTGTTGTTCTGCTTCGACTGAAGACGGGCATACGCCATACAGTGTGCTATGAGGGAAATTTTGCCCGGGCAGCAGCACCATGGCCTACTTTTGTATCAAATTCCAACTGCCATAGGAACTCTTACATGCACGCCAATGTATACACCAAGCGTTGGTTTTTCATCCCATCCAAAAAATTAACAGCTGTCCTTGTCAGGCCCTCTGTAGTGCACCATTGACAAGGGTAAACCACATCAGAATATCACAATGAACTTTCTCGGGAGAATACAGGGATTGAACATGCGACCTCCAGGCCAGCGAGTCAGCTTTGGTTAACAATATTCCATCTGTTAGTCCTCAAATGATCTGGTTAGTATTGAACTTGGTTCGATGGGTGGTGGTTTACAGTGTGTGCGGGAAATCACAAGGTCTGTCACTGAGTCAAGTGGTGTGGTTTGAATCCCCACTCTGCCTGTCCAACCCCTTGGGTTTCCTCCAGTTTCCTCCCAATGCTAAAGACCCCTACACATAATTGCAAGCTAATTATTGGTATTATATTGAACCGTAGGTTAGTCCCGAAATGACCTAGTTTGTGCAGGGTGGACCCCTCTCTCTTTCTCTCTCTCTCTCTCGTATTCTTTTTATTAGGTTATACCAACAATTTTCTTTTAAAACTTTATTCGGCATAACCAAGGGCCCCGGGACAAGTGCCCCAGCTGTCCACACCCCCCTTTCACAGGCCCTGCGTAGAGGTCTATAGCAATGGGAGGAAAACAAAGGACCCAGATAAATAATGACACCTTGACTCAATGTCGGACCTTATGCTCTAAAGCGCATGCTTTGGCCCACTCGACCACCCGAATCCCCCTATATATTAAAACAACATACCTCAACCATAACATCTCCTTCCTTCAATTCACCCATAATACATGCCCGCAATATATCTTCTGTTAACTTTGTCATAACAACCATTCTACCCATAGCTGGTGTTATACTCGCTGGCCGCACTGGACGAAATGCGCTACCAGGTCCACCAATTCTAGCATAACGACCTTGAGGAAAGGAAGAATTATCCAGACTGTCCCTATTTTCAGGCAAATCAATCAATGTATCTTTCAGTTCCACAGACTCCATCAACAGAGCGACACTCGGAAGAGAGATCCTAATAGGATAAAAATCGTAACTTTGGGATAACTGATACATCGTTGGGTGTTTTGCAGTTGGCGACCCGATTGGTGGAGAAATCTGACTGATAGGAGAGGTTGGATATTTCCAATGACCCGGTAAAGTGTTACTAACAAATCCGTGTCTTGTACTGTTTCCATTTATTTCCGAATCCGGAATCGGATAGCCATTCATTACTGGATGATTGTTCTCCGTAACTTTGGTGACATGACAATTTGAATTATCCAATGCCATTGATGTATCCCAGCTACGTCTCTGATGTGGACTATTTTTAACATCATTCCATCGATGGTGATTAGGCAATGTTTCTATTTTAACATTTCGCGGAGTTGTTGGTGTCTTTGGTTTTTCAGTCACCTCATTTTTTTGATAACCGTTGATGATTGGTTGCCTGTGTTTTGGGGATTTCACAGTGGCATAATTTCCGTAAGATTTTTGGGGTGTGGAATAATTTGGATATTGTCCGTGGACGTTTTGTTGCACTCTGTTATGGGAATTACTTTTACAGTTCTGGCCGTATTCATACTCACAGTCATTGTTAGTTGTGTATCCTGAATCTATCGTGCTACAGTGTGATAGCAAAGTTATCTGCCCCGAATCACTGCTACGGTCACCAGATGGCAGTGGGGTAGTTTGTGGATGACCGTTTTGTGACTGATTGATTGTATTACATTTTTCGGTGTAATTTATTTTAATTCCTGAGTCACGTTCCTTATTTAAAGAAGAATTGCACTTTATATTTTTAAAACTTTGTGGACTGGATTTGATTGGAACTGTCTGTAAAAGTTCAAATACTTCGTTGTCTGAGGGTGTGTCCCCCGTGTAAGATAAACTTCGTCCATGTTCCGAATAACTGGAATTCTGGGAGTTGGTTCGATAACCATTACTGCTATGCGCAGACATTCTCGACTTCATCATCTCCGTAAAGCGTTTTATTCGTTCGTTGGCTTCAACTGTAGGCACTTGAGGTAGACTCCTTTTTTGTTTGAGTGGGGACTGCTCACGGGGAATGTCCGCAGGGGTATGTCGGGAAGCACTATAGTTGTAATCACTAGAACTTGTTAAATTCATTTTTTGAGTGTAATGTTCTGGAATTTCCTGAAACACTTCTAACGTATTGTAACGCTCGTGATGAGAGCCCCCTGGTGTACGGTTGCGTCTCCGGGCACGAGGTGGAGGAACATTCGACAAGTTCATCATGCTCCCCGATTTCCTATCCTGGGCAACAGATAATGATAAGCCTTGTGTTAAATCACCAAGACTCTGAGCACGAGATACGTCGACTTCTGTGTTTGGGTCAACTTCAGGTCTGGCGTAAAGTTCGTCACTCTGTAAGCGGCCATTTTGTTCCGTTTCCGTTTCGTGAACGGTTGGCATCGTTGATATATCCAAACAACTGTGATACATATAAACGTCGCGATTACTGGATAATTTGTTGTTGTTGATTTCCTGGCATTTACTGAAGTCTGGATGACTCATCACCTGACGATCCAGCGAGTTTGTGCCGTTAACCATCGGAGGTACAACAGCTCTAGGACCATGACGATTATATCGTTGATGAATATTTTCCTTGTTGAATCCTTCCCGCATGTTCGTCATTATATCCCCTTCAGACATAACTGACTGTTGATCAGTTCTCCTTCGCCACTGAAAAAGAAATTATCAAAAATATTTTTAAGTGGAAAAGATTAATTTTTATTATGTAAGATTTTTATGGTTACATGTGAACAAGGAGATGGGAATTCAGTTTTTCATGGGATTCCTTATAGCCTGTTTTAGGTTGGCGCCCACACCGTGCCCATTTCAAGCAACATCATACCATAATGCAATCTCAGAACATGTAATAAAATCATTTCATATCATAAGAAATCTGAAATGAAATAAAATGATGTTTAACTCTTATACTGGGCTAATGAAGATCTTTTACATACACACCAATGTATACACAAACCTCATTTTTTGTCCCATCCAAATGACTAGACAGCTGTCCTTGCACCACTGACAAGGGGAAAAAATGTTGGAAAATCCCATTTTTTGGCCAATGCAGGGATGAGAGATAGAGAGAGAGAGAGAGAGAGAGAGAGAGAGGGGGGGGTTTGTTAACATCCATTTGACACAAACTTGGTCATTTCGGGATTAACATATGGTTCAATTTTATTTCTGTAATTCGAATGTGTGTAGGGGTCTTTAGCCAGCTTCTTACTCACTTAGCCACCATGGCTCCTATATGAAATCTAACGATATGTGGTAAGAATTATGATGAAAAGGGTACAATTACGATTTATTGGGAATATCATGTAGCTTTTTGAGAAGTGGTATCAAGTTTCAAGTTTTCTAGAAAGCATGAGCAGAATCAGATTCATGCATGACACACGTCCTTACATCTAGCTAACTGGAGCAATGGGTTGGACCTGGTTTTCAGAACCCAAAATAGAGGATAACCCAAAGTTATAGGGTAGAACATGATTTCGGAGGCCATGGGGAGAGTGATGAACCCAGTTATAGTATTACAACTCACCTTATGTTTACTGTGTTTATTTGTATTAAAACCCAAGTCTAACGGACGATTTAAATGTGAATCAGAAACACTGAGATTCGCCCAACTGTGGGCCTTTAACATCTGAAATATCATCAGACAGAATAATATAATAACCAATATATACATACACAAACAATAATACATAATTAGTAAATTCAAGCAAGAATAAGACTTTCTTTCCAACCACAATCTAACAGCATTTATTAAAGGGGCATTAGGTGAGATTTGATAAAGAGCTGACAGTTCTCGCTATAATAGGTCAAAAATAGATAATGAAAACAGAAAATGTTAAAAATTTTAACCAAATTGCTTCACTCTGAACCAAGATATTAACAATTCATCATTACAAACGTTGGTTCTTTATAATAAACAAAGTCTTGATTATCCAGTTTTACATTAAATCACCCATCACAAAATGTATTCAAATCCACTATAGATCGCAGGATAATGATGGCATCGAGAGTTGGTTCTGGTCTGGATAAGTTAATTAATGTCTAATTAATAAATTAGATAACATTTCTGGCCTAAAGAAAGACGTGCAATAGGCAAATTTAGCTCTTACATAATGTATGTTTAAAATAAAGATCTTTAACGGTAATAAAAGGTTAACACAACGGACAAACTCACATCGGTCCACAAAAGAGAGACACATATTAGCTAGTCGCCTCCAACTTCCGATTTCCAAGGCATTATAGTCTAAACCTTGACTCTCATATCAATTAACCATTTGGTACTATTTCGTACCTTTTCATATTAAACCCCTCGGGCGCCATGTTGAATCACACAGTATTTAACGTTCTAAAACCTAACTACTTCATGGAATCAACGACAAATCTAAACTTGGGCACTCCAACCATTTTTATTTTTGTATCGTAATAAAATGTTAATTCAAACAGTACATTGAATGCAGCATGTTTGAGATTCCTGACTGTATAAAAGTCAGTGGATCCCAAGTGCATCACTGTTTAAAGCAACCAACTTTAGTTTATAACAGTCATAAACCTTAAATAGTCAGAATTCACTCCTTAAATGCAGGAATTTCTGCATATCAGAGATGCATTATGTATGTACAAGCTAAATCTGCCTATTGCGGGTTTCAAATTTTGGCTTCAAATGTTATATACATTATCATTTAGACATTTATTCACATGACAAGCGTTGTACTGTATCATACGGTCTGTCATTGAGTCAACTGGTGTGGTTTCGATTCTCCGGTTGTACGTGACAAGGAGTAGGGTCGCCTGTCCAACCTCGTGGGTTTTATCCGGGTCCTCCGGTTTCCTCCCACTGCTAAAGACCCCTGCGCGCAAGCGAATTATTGAAATAAAATAAATTGAACCATGTGTTAGTCCCGAAATGACCTAGTTTGTGTCAAGTGCCGTTAAACCTCATTTGTCTCTCTCTCTCTCTCATGCTGTGCAGTGTGTTATGAAGGAAATTTCGCCTGGATAGCAGCGTTCCGATATTCTTATCAGGAGTGTTTCCTGATTATAAACAATCTATGCCACATCTTGTAAAAAATTTCAAACAGTGATAGAACTTCACACAGAATAAAGTAATTTGAATAAAAATTTTAATATATTAATTTTGAATTATCCATTTTGGAACTATTATACCAAGAAATGCCAGTTCTTTATCTAAGTATTTCAATAACGCATCTTTAAACATTGTCCGTACACTCAGCAATAAACATATAAATAACAACATAGACAATCTTACCATATTAGAATATTTCAAACTATACATAATACTTTTTCTTAAGCGTTATAAAACCTCACTTTAAGTCTACTAAGTTGTGAATTGTCTCTACTCTGTAGTTTGTTTAAAATAACTCCCTGCTTAAATTAGATAGTTTGCCAAACGGTGAAAAAAAAATGTTTTAATATGAAACAAGTTGGGTTCGGCGTTTGTACAAAGTTTACAGTAATTACACCTTGAATGTAACGTGTTCAGCAAACTTGACATTCTATAGAAACCATTAATCAAGACTTGTTTTACCGGATTAACTAAATTCATTATTTTAAAGAGGCTGTTATATTCTTTAGAAGTTTACAACAGAATGAAATAAATAGGGTTGAACACTTCTATTACAAGAACAAAAAATTATGTGATTGCTCTTCTTAAAAGCTATTACATATAGTTTCATTTTTTTTTTTTTTTTAAAGTTTTAAACAAAATATCATTCACATGAGGCTAATTGTTTAACAAGGCCCTGAAGAACGAACATTTTATTTGGTGTGGCAAAAGAGACAACACGAGAACAAGCTGCCGTGGCCACTCCCAAAAAAGAAATGAAATGGATACTGAAATAACTCCATGGACTGTGGTTTGAGGGAAATTGTTATACGACAGCTGGGTAACCTGCTCAGCCAACATCAGGCTACAACCCCAGACCTCCTGGGAGAGAAAGAAATGGGGTTTAACGGCCACACGACAAACAGTAGGTAATTTCGGGACTAACATATGGTTCAATTTTATTTCAAAAATTCGCTTAAGCGTAGGGGGTTTTAGCGGTAGGAGGAAACCAGAGAACCTGGAGAAAACCCACGAGGATGGACAGGCTACCGCTACCCTACTCGTTGTCACATACAAGCGAGGAATCAAAACCATGCCACTTGACTCTATGACAGAACTTATGATGCAACGCGCACGCATTAACCTCCCCTCCCGTCCAAAAGAGACTAAGAATCACATCATAATAATGAGGTACGTTTTAGCTGGGGGGGGGGGGGTATTAAAGTTATTCAATTTTTCAAATAACATAAACGCACCATCACAAAGTACAATATAATTACCTGTTTTGATGAATTTTTGGGTCGTTTTATCAACATTAAACATTTCTCATCCACTTTACAGGTATCCAACGCTGATAAAACATTATCCGTATCAGCTAAAAACGCTTGAACTGAAAATATACAAAACAATTAAACGATAAAACATTATCTCTATCAATATATGTCCATATATCAGTTAAAAATTCTTCAGATGAAAATATACCAAAAAAATGCTTGAAACGAAAAAATAATGCTTAAACATATAATTGTGTATCATTATAATTATAGGCCTATATATCAGCTAGAAGTGCTTGAAATGAAAATATAGAAAACAATACAACATTATGTGTATTATTATATATAACAGTCATAAAACCAAAAACAATAACATCTTGATTCATAAATAAGATGTCAATATAAAGAGCTGTGAATTTCAGGAAACAGAAAATGCTGAAGATTGATTTTTATTGCTTGAACTAGCACATTGATGATGATGATGATGATGATGATGATGAAATTTTATAGAAGATCTTATTATAAATACCCCAGTGTAACATGTTATTCCAATCTTTTCCTGGCATAAATATCAACACTTTGCTATTTAAAAGTGAGATAAATTCTGAAAATGTGTGGTGCTGGTTTCACCTCTAGACATTCAAACATTTAAATAGGGGCTAAAGATAAGTCAGGTTCACCTTTAAATTAATCAGGATAACATTTGATTTACAGGATGCAGGTATATGTGTATAGATACTAATACTAGTCGTATACCACACTTTAATATACAGTTGTTTATGTACATGTTGATACCAATATTAGCCTTACACCACACTTTAATAACCAGTCGTGTATGTAGATACTAATACTAGTCGTATACCACACTTTAATATACAGTTGTATATGTAGATACAAATTCTAGTCGTATACCACGCTTTAATATCTATGTACATGTAGATACTAATACTTCCCATATACCACACTTTAATATCCAGTTGTGTTTGCAGATACAAATACTAGCCATATACCACTCTCATATCCAGTTGTACATGTAGATACTAATACTAGTCGTATACCACACTTAAGATATACTGTTGTACATGTAAATAATAATACTAGACCTGGCTTTAATATCTAGATGTGCATGTGGATACAAATACTAGTCGTATACCACACTTTAATAATCAGTTGTATAGGTAGATACTAATACTAGTCGTATACCACACTTTAATATACAGTTGTATAGGTAGATACTAATACTAGTCGTATAACACACTTTAATATACAGTTGTATAGGTAGATACTAATACTAGTCGTATACCACACTCTAATATCCAGTTGTACATGTAGATACTAATACTAGTCGTATACCACACTTAAGATATACTGTTGTACATGTAAATAATAATACTAGACCTGGCTTTAATATCTAGATGTACATGTAGATACCAATATTAGCCTTACACCACACTTTAATAACCAGTCGTGTATGTAGATACTAATACTAGTCGTATACCACACTTTAATATACAGTTGTGTAGGTAGATACAAATACTAGTCGTATACCCCACATTAATATCCAGTAGGGTAGGTACATACTAATACTAGTTATATACCACAATTTAATGTAAATGTAAATAGTGTATACCAGGCTTCAATATTCAGACATGCATATATACTAGCAGTACATACCACGCTTTAATATTCAGTTGTTATACATAGATACTAATATACTAGCTATATACCACACTATAACATTCAGGGGTTTTAGGCTCAGTGATTAATAACACACCACTACCCACACATATTACATGTAGTAGCTCTAAATATACCCTCTCTCTTACACATCATCTCAACAACAACAATTAAAGGGCAACTCCCTACATATGAGAAATGAAATGGGGTTTAATATCTGCTCCATCTGGGTTATGAAGGAAATTTTGTCCAGACAATAGCACTACAACCTACTCTTGTTTTGAATTCCAACTATATATCAAGGGTTCTTTTACGTGAATGCCTATTTGTACACATGACCTCTGTTTTTCATGCTACCCAAACGACTATACATTGTCACTTGCCAGACCCTGAGACCTCCAGGTTGGCTAGCCAGCATCTTACTCACTGAACCACTGTGGCTCCCCTACATATAAGACTTGAGAAGAACCTTTGATGGCGCCTGTGGCATTGGCAAAGATAGTGTTGTTTAATACACCTGTGTTAGAATTCAATGAAAATAGGCAGATATGCCACAACCCATACAAAATTCTCTATATTGCATTGCGCGCTCATTCTTAGAAAAGGAAATTACTGTATATGAGTCACAAAATGATCAAAATATTATGTTGACAGACTTAAACATTCCATTCCATCTGATTGGATATAGAAATGGAAGGTAAGATATTTAAATATGATACAGCTTTATTCACATATTGGAGGAGTCTTTAGCTGTGGTGTGAACCTCACAAGATTGGCAAACAACCCAATTCTTACACAAGTAAATAATAAACTAAAATATTACAGTGGAAGCATCCCTTTATCTAAATCTGGCAGTGAACCAGTGTAAAGAGGCCTCAATAAGATGGTTGGTGGTATAACTTTTGATACAGTTTGTGAACTTCCACATTAAAAGAGCACCTGTTATGTTTGAAATGGTGAACTCAATGACCAACAGGTAATAAATATATCTATGTATATATAAAGCAGGTGTCTCCAATACGTAAAACATAAACTATCAACACTTTTACAAACTAAACTCAATTTAAACAGGAACCACATGTTAACTAAACTTCAGTCATTGTTATGAGAGAGAGAGAGAAAAATGGGGTTTAACGTCCACTCGACACAAACTAGGTCATTTCGGGACTAACATATGGTTTAATTTTATTTCCATAATTCGCTTGCGCGTAGGGGTCTTAGCGGTGAGAGAAAACCGGAGGACTCGGAGAAAACCCACGAGGCTGGACAGGCGACCCTACTCCTTGTCACGTACAGCGCGCGCATGCTAACCATTCGGCCATCCAACCCCCCTGTCATTGTTATGACTATATGAAGAAATCGTTCTTGCCACTTATAGATTTCTATTCTTAAAGATGTGCATTATGTAAAAGCTAACTCTGCCTGTTACAGGCTTTTTTTCTGGCTTCAAATGTTATATGAATTATTATTTAGACATTATATCAACAGGTTGATTTATATCAACAGGTTGGCTATAATAGTTGAGAAAAAGATAATTAAAAATGAATGGGCTTGGCATATGTATTAATTTCTAAATAAATAATTTATAAAACATTTGAAGCCAGAAAAAACCTGCAATAGGCGGATTTAGTTCTTACATCTTTAAGATTAGAAATCCCAGATTACTCTCTTGAAGTGACTAGTTTCGTCCATTTCGAACTCATCAGGCTTAAGTGAGATTGTGCGGATGTTCACTTTAAGATGTTAATAAATGTCTAATTAATAATTATACAACAGACTAAACGAAAAAGACCTGCAAATGGGAAGATTTAGTTCTTACATAATGCAGGTTTAAGATGTTAATAAATGTCTAATTAATAATTTAAACAACAGTCCAAACGAAAAACCTGCAAATGGGCAGATTTAATTCTTACATAATGTATGTTTAATAAGTTTCCAATAAGCTCTATTAATGACCATCCACACAGCATCAGCTATCTGAAAATTGTCCCAAATTTCTCCTGGTTTTTATCTTATATCTAAACATAAGAATCACATCTTAGTCCCATATGGTTGAGTGCAGGAGGACCCCACGACACACAAAAACAGCTGACCAGATACATAAACTACACACACTGCCGGCAATAAACAACATAGCCAAGTTCCATCCGTATGTGAGCGTCCACACCGCTGTACAGTCCCGGAGGGGGGGATAATAATGTAGACAACAACAAGAACGTAAATATTCACTCTTACCAAGAATTCAAAATGCTAAAAAAACACTCAACGGCTCAATTTATTGATGCAACATCCTGTGAACTAATTAATAGAGTTTTTCTCACACTTACTAAGAATGTATGAGTTGACTGAACCGTGTGAATGCCACAACAGTATAAGATACAATATCTACGCCTATACAAGTTAACTAAACCACGTGAATCACAACAGGTAAGATACAATGTATCTACGACTATACAAGTTATTATCACGTTTACCTGCTTATGATATACACACTTTTACCCCCCTCCATCTTATATATATATATCTAATTGTGCACTAAAGTATACATATGTAATTAAAGAGAGAGAGAGAGAGAGAGAGAGAGAGAGAGAGGTTTAACATCCACTCAACACAAACTATGTCATTTCGGGACTAACATATGTGAGAGAAATGGAGGACGTGGAAAAGACCGACAAGGTTGGACAGGCAACCATATTCCTTGTCACGTACAAGCAGGGAATCGAAACCACATCACTAGACTCAATGACAGACTGTCTGATCTAACGTGTTATCCATTCGGCCACCCAACACCCAGCCCCAATATGTTTTCAAGACGGCAATATACGTCCACATTTCCATGTGGGCCTATAAAAATAACCCTATGTCTCCACAAAACATTAAACTCTAAATCATTCTCATTACTACAAAATACACAAATTTTATTTCACTCATTCGCTTCTATGTACGGATCTTTAGCAGTGGTAGGACGCTGGATGACCAGGAGAAAACCCGTAAGTTTGACAGGTGACCCAACTCGTCACATACAAACAGTGAATCTAAATCCTACCACTTGATCCAATGACAGGCGTTGTGATCTAACATGCACATGTTGAACTATTCGACCACCCAAACCCCTCACTAGAACTTTAGAAGATATTTCCCTCAATTAGTGAGCCATCCAGACCCCTCAAACATTCCCCTCAATTAGAAGAAGAATATAACAAGGCCAGATACGGAGATAATAACTTGGGATATATTGTACGTCAATGTTTATTGTGAATACAATATAGATACACTATAGTTGGTATGTCTAGTATTTTAATTATAGTGAAAAGTTTCAGGTTAACACCCATACTGGTTGACAATCAAATATCAACATACTCCAGCTATCACTGTAACCTGGGTATCATTTAATGTTGTGTATCTAGCACTAATTTCTTTCACATTCGTTTAATATCAA